AATTTATTTATACTCTTTATATTGTTTAGTATATTTAGGGTATATTTATATGTATTATTTATATTATTACTTTTTTTTGTATTTTTATACTTTTTTATATTTTGTGTAGTTTAGGGATAGAAGGAGGGATGCATGCATGTATAAGGTAATTAAGAAGGGAAGGAAACACCTAAGGAGACAGAAGAAGTGTTAATTAAGCAGAGAAGAAGAGCCACCAAAGGAGACACTTCAATAGAGACTTAAGGAGACAAAAAAGGGGGAAAAAAGCAAAAGAATAAAACGAATAAAATGAATACAGAACAAAGAACAAAAAGGAATAAATAAAGAAAAAGAATAAAAAATAAGAATAAACAAAAAGAATAAAAAGGAATAAATAAAGAAATAAATAAATACCTGTGGATCTAAAGGAGGAGCCTCTGTACAATCTAGACAAAGAAGTTGATTAAGCCAAGACTCAACAGGGTCTCCTTCTGCATAACGAATAGGAGTATCTAATGTTATTTCTTTTAATTGTCTCCTTAATATACTTTTATTGTCTCCTTTTTCTCCTTTTTCTCCTAATAATAATTTATTCCCTTTCCTTAAATCCCCCAATAATTTTAATGATAAAGAACGTCCTGTCCCTTCATACCCATTTACTGTTGATGATAATAATACAGTATAAGGCCCTGCATGCATACATAAACCCTAAACCCTAGACCCTAAACCCTAGGCACGCACAACTTCTAGGGTGTGCACATCTACTACCGTCCCTTAACTATTTGCTGCTGTAAGGGGGACGACACCGTAAACCCTAAACCCTAAACCCTGAGACCTAGACCCTAATAAGCCCGAGACCACCCTAAACCCTAAACCCTAAACCCTCGACATACCAAGGAGTCCTTTAACAACGGGTAATGGTATACTTGCTGCCTCATCAATAACAAGTAAATCACAATTAACAAGGGTTTGTCTTTCATGAGGAAAAATAAATTGTACACGTTGTTTATGGTGTCTATACACCTCAATCTTTGTTATTGCTTTTACGTCTTGTTTATCATATAAACCCGAGGAATAAACACCCGATGTATCTAAACCCTTTTTTCCTCTTCTTGTTGATCCTACTGTCTCTATAGATACCTGGAAGTCTATTTGCTCCCTCATACCCATGGCAAGCAAACCCTGCAGCAGCAGCAGCAACAGCAGCAGCAGCAGCAACAGCAGCAGCAGTAGCAGGAGCGGAGGATTCATACATGCATGCAGTTTATCATTGATGTACGCAGAAGCAGAGGGATACCGCAAAGACATCCTAAACCCTAAACCCTAAACCCTAGGGGTTTACCTTTTGTACGAATTCGAATAGGGTTTGTACATTCTCTGCAGAGGGTGCACAAACAAAGGTAGAGGAGACACCAAGAGAGACAGCAGCAGCAACAGCAAGACCTAATGCAGCAGATTTCCCTCTCCCTCTTGCTGCAGTAAGAGCAATAGTTTGATATGTTCCTGGTGCTGCTGTTGCTGTTGATGGTTGCTGCTGCTGAGAAGACTCCTGCTGCTGCTGCTGCTGCTGCTGCTTGCTGCGGAAACTGCTGCAGCTACATAGACAATCAAGGAAAGCAATAACAGCAGTAGCCTGCTGAGGGGTAACACACAACTTAACAAGAGCATCAAGAGGAGGGGCGTGTTGCAGTTTATCTATAATATGTTTAAGCTGCTGCTGCTGCTGCTGTTGCTGCTGCTGCTGCTCCTGCAGCAACTGAGCATTAGCAGCAGGATCAAGAGCAATAGTACCATTAATAGGTAATATATTTAATTCATCATCTAATATAATACAACGTCTACAGTGTATAAGAGATAAAAGAAGACGTTTATTAAATAAAGGTAATAAAGAAGAAAAAGAAGAAGTTATATATTTATTATGTATATCCATGGATAAATAATATAATTGCTGCAGTGTATTATATGACTGCAGCAGCAGCAAAATAATTCCCCCTCCTGCTGCTGTCTCTATTACCCTACATAATAAATTAGGGTTTATTGCCTCGTAGTCTTGTAGTATACATATATTATATGTTTTTCCTAATATATTCTTACTATCCTTATAATGTATATATCTTATTAATGTACTTGTATAAAATAATTCATGTACATTATCTATATTAGGGTTATATAATCCTTTTTTTATTTTTTCTTGTATTTGTTTCTGTCTTTTCTTATAATGAGAAGAAAACCCTAATTCCTTCTTATAACACCATAATACTGAGGGTTTATTTATATTATTTATACTACTTAACATATAATATATATTAGGTATTTGTTCTCTCCCTCTATCCCCTACTAATATAAACAAACATCTCTCATTTAATGCAACACTGCTACGTACACATTCACGTATACGTGGATCCACCTTCTTCTTCATCCTGTATACAATTCACATTAACCCTAAACCCTAAACCCTAAACCCTAAACCCTAAAATCTAAATATGAAGTAAAGAAAAATAGGAAATAAAGAATGAGCAAAAATAAATAAGGGATAATGGTTAAAACGAGGAGAGGGGAGGGGATATATAGAAGGAGTTATACACTATACGGAAAAGGCTAGGGTTTAGGGTTTAGAGAAGAAGGGTTTGAATAGAGGCATTTAAGCGTTAGAGTGTTATAGATGATAGAGCTTAGATGTAAGGGTTCTAAATAAAGGGTTTATAGGAAAAGGTTTAGAAGAAGCTACTTTATGTTTAGGGTTTAGGGTTTAGGGTTTAGTGCTTATAGGGACTCACTTGGATAAGAAATAATGACGAAGGGTATACAATCAAACCAACATGTGACAGAAGCCAGGCAGGCCATGAGGCCTTCCAGGCTCTAACCCTAAACCCTAAACCCTAAACCCTAAACCGTCGATCCCTCTCCCACTAAAGCCTTGGTCGGTAACGTCCCCGGTGCCCAAACCCTAAACCCTAAAAACCTAAAACCCTCGATCCAGCCAAATTAAGGGAGGAAGAAGGACAAATTAATTACATTAAAATACAAGAAAAGGACAAAATAAAACATTACAGAAGGGTCTTCCTCTTATTACTGCTGTGGGGCGGATCTACTTCTTGACAGGGGCCCCGGGGGCCCCCCCACAGGGCCGCAGGGCCCGTAGAGGGGGCCCTCGAGGGGCCCCTCCCTCTCTCCGTTATCTTACTCTTTCTTTAGAGGTGAAGGGCAAAATGATAATTTATTTTTACGTATTAATGGGAGAAAAATGCCATTTTTATCTGCATGCAGTAGCAAGAAGGAGGGAAAAGCCTTCCTATGGGGCTGGACCGCCGGTCTTCTTTATACATCTTGTGTATTCCCCCGAATAAATATAATATTATTATAATTATAATAATAAATTACAATTATAAATTGTGATTACAATTATACATTATAATTGTTAAATAAAATATCTACAAAAGTGTACCTGTTATGTCCCTGGCAGGGAAGGGGGCCCCCCGAGCCTCCCGCCTGGTGAACCTCCCTCTCCCTTTTGTAGGAGAGGGGGGCCCCTAACCGCCAACAAACCCTCTTCCCCCAAGCTAGCTACCTAGCGAGCTACATAGCTAGTCAGCTAGCTACACAGCCGTCCAGGCAGCTAGCCAGTTGGAAAATATATATCTACCGTGCGCCTCTGTCCATACAGTTGGCTAGCTAGCTAGCCAACGAGTCGGCGGATTCAGGGGTTGGTAGCTTGCCACGTGTTGGTAGCTAGGTAGCTCTAGTGGGCTAGTTAATACGTTGACTCCCTCACCATCTAGCAAGCTAGCTATCTAATTAGCTAGTTAGCTAGCCAGCTGTCTGTAGAGGCCTGCATCGAAGCCCCAGAGGCCGGCGGATCACCAAAAAAACGGGGGCCCCCAAGAGGGGACCTGATAGGGGCCCCTATTCGCTAGGGAGGGGCCCCCCTCAGGTCCATCTTCCTTCCTGCACGGGGCCCCTCTGCAAGCCAAAGGGGACACTTCTTAAGAAAAAAGGAGACAGCTGTCTCTAAACATCAATAAAGGAGACCCTCTTCCCCTCTCTCCCCATGGTGTAAGAAGAGAGTAATTAGGGTTTAGGGTTTTGGGTTTAGGGCTTACGTTTGTCTAACAAGAGGTACATAAACAACACTAGTAATATATTTAACGGAGACAGCCCCCTCCTTATTCTTAGATATAACTACTAATGCCTGTCCCCCATCACAGTCTCCATCTATCTGTCTATCCCCTAAACCCTCGAGGGTTATTAAACCCTCATGGCATTCTACTGGTATAACCATCTTCCCTCCAATAGCTAATTGCTGCAGCAAAGCAGCAGGTACTGCTGCTGCTGCTGCACCTACATGAATTGCATCATATGGGGCCCCCCAAGAGGGGCCCCCTGCCCAACCGTCCCCCTTTAATAATGCAAAGTTACGGCTCTGCATTAAGTGAGGGAACCCTGCTGTTACGTTCCTGAACAACACAAACCCTAAACCCTAAACCCTAAACCCTCGCTCGAGCCAGGTAAAAGACGTATAACCTACCCACTACGCAAACCCTCGTCCTCACAGGAAGCAATATCTAATGTGTATGGTACTTCCCCTTAACGTCTACAATCTAGGGTTTAGGGTTTAGGGTTTAGGGTTTATATTACTTCTTAGATAGATCAACAAGACCCTGAATATAATCAATGCCGATGGCAATTCCTCCATTCTCTTCTCCTGCCCCAACCATCATTGCCATACAAACTGTTAAATACCCTGTACCGCTACCTGCAGCAGCAGCAGCAGCAGCAGCAGCAGCAGCAGCAGCAGCAAGAACAGCAACACGCATATATTGCTGCTACTGCTGCGGCTGTGGCAGCTGTTGCATAAATAAGAAATAAAGAAATAAATAAATAAAATAAATAAATAAAATAAAAGAATAAAATAAAAAAATAAAAAAATAAGTAAATAAATGAATAAATAAATAAATAATTACCTACCTACATCTAGTGCCCTCTTACCATAAGTTAATTTATCCTTTAATTCCTCTAAAGAAATGTCATGAATATGTAATAAAAATATAATAAATACATGAATAAATAGATAAATAAATAAATAAATAAATAAATAACTGTATTAATTAATTTATTTACTTACCTACATCCAGTGCCCTCTTGCCATAAGTTAATTTATCCTTTAATTCCTCTAAAGAAATGGCATGAATATGTGGTGCAGAAATTGTGGCATTAAATCCGATCGATTGAGGACGATCAATGTATGGATCAACAGATATAAATTTACCACGGTCTACCTGCATGCATGCATATTAATATATATTTATTTATTTACTTTATTTATTTTATTTGCTTGTCTTGTTTTATTTATTCTTGTTATTTACAATTGACGCGAAACGGGGAAGGGTTTAATGCTTGTGCTTTAGGGTTTAGGGTTTGGAGTTTTTTGGGGTTTAGGGTTTAGGGTTTGGGGTTTAGGGTTTAGGGGAGACGTAAGGGATGGGCTAGCTGTAGGTGTTAATAAGGAGTATTTTTGTCTCCTTTTGTCTCCTTTTGTCTACTACTTGTTGTCTCCCTATCTTTATTCCCTCTATTTGTCTCCTACATCCACCAACGTCACCTCTCCTCATCTACTACCACAACTATTACTCCTACTCCTACTCCTGCTGCTGCTGCTGCTGTTGCTGCTGCTTCTGCTGCTGCTGCTGGCTGTATATTTACCTGCAGCATAGTATTATAGACTCTTTGGTCTTTTATAAGTCCTGACCTCCGTAAGTTTTCTATTAATTCGCTGTTTGTTCTCCCATGGCTACGCCACGCCATTGCTGCTGCTGCTAGCTGCTGCTGCTGCTCCTGCAGCAGCTGCTGTTGTTCTTGTTGCAGGCGCAGGGGGGCCCCCTCAGTACCTGTATCTTCGGGGGCCCTTGATGGGGCCCCTATGCCACTGAAGGGTACTCCTTCTGGGGCCTCAGGCAATGAAGAAGAAAGGAAGGGGGCCCCTTGACCCTGCACACCCGACTGGTCAACTGTTGAATACAGTGGTGAGGGTACAGGAGGATTCTGCTGCTGCTGCTGCTGTTGTTGCTGCTGCAGTTGCTGCTGCTGCTGCTGCAGCTGCAGCAGGGAACGGGAAGACAGGGCGGCTCTGTGCTGCGCTAAGAAACGAGAGGAAAGAGGAAAACGGCGGGTAGCAGGGGGAGGGAAGTTAAGGAAAGAAGATATAGATGTGTCTGTAGGAGAGAAGGGAACGTTAACTGCTGCAGTTGCTGTTGCTGCTGCTGCTGCTGCTACTGTTGCTGCTGCTGCTGCTGCTGCTGCTACCCATACACCACCGCAGGTCGATGCCCGCGATATGCCGGCCCTTCGGGGCACCAACAGCATCTCTAAAGAAATAAAAAATTAATTATTTATTTATTTTGTTTGTTTTATTCATGTATTTACTTATAATCTATTTATACTTAACGGACATTGAAGACAGTGGCTTCTGTTGCTGCTGCTGCTGTAGCTGTAGCAACAGCAGCAGCAGCTGCAGCAGCTGCCGCAGCGCTCGCTGACACTGCAAGACAAGTTCGTTCAACACACGGCAGTGTTTAAGGAGATAAGATATTTTAATAAAAAAATAAAAATTAAATTAAACTAAATAAATAAATAAATAAATAGCAAGTATTATGTAATAATACGGTCTGCTAGTTGCATATACACTACAAACCTCCCTATACACCCTAGCAGCACGACTCCAAGATGACAGCAGCAGATGCAGCAAAAAGGAGAAAAATAAGAAATAACTAATAATTTTAACTAATAAATGACAATAAATAATAAAATTAAATTTATTTATTAAAATAATAAAAGAAGAAGAAAAGTTAATAGAGAGAAGACTCTATACCCTCTAAGGGAGAACCACCAACCCAACAATGCGAGTCATCGATCAAACGGCAACAGAAGCAGCAATAGCAGCAATAGCAGCAGTAGCTGCAGCAGTAGCTGCAGCAGTAGCTGCAGCAGTAGCTGCAGCAGCAGCAACAACAACACTAGCAACAACAGCAACGCCAGGAGCTGCAACGGCAACAGTAGCAGCAACACCAACAAGGACTGCTGCGACAGGAGTGTAGAAGTAGCATCAGCAGCAACAGTAGCATTAACACTAGCAGCAATAGCAGCAACAGCAGCAGCAACTGTAGCATTAACACTAGCATTAACACTAGCAACAATAGCAGCAGCAGCAGCAGCAGCAGCAGTAGCAACAACAACAGTAGCATTAACACTAGCAACAATAGCAGCAGCAGCAGCAGCAGCAACAGCAGCAGCAACTGCAACAGCAGCAGCAACAGCAACAGCAACAGCAAATATTAAGAATTAAAAAGATGTATTTTGTTACTTTGCAGTCCTCAAGTTGGGAATGCATAAAATAAAATACAACTTAATAAAAAAATAAATAAATAAATAAATAAATAAATAAATAAATAGAATATTTATTTATATTTACTTATATATATTTATTTATATTTATATTTATTTATTTATTTATATCTATGTTGGTGCCTTTTTATCCTTATAACCTGCAGATACACCCTGTAGATAACATATCTATTTTATTATATAAAAAAAATATATATATTATATATTTATATATATTTGTGTATATTTATATTATATATATAATATTATATATATTATATATAGTATATACAATACTTATATATAGATTATATATATATTATATTATACACATGTATTCTTCTATGTATAATATACATAATATATTATATATATTATAGTATATATATATTTATACTAAATAATATATAATAATATAATATATATAATATATTATATGTACTATATAATATATTATATATGTACGTACATATACACGAATATATATATTTTATAAAAAAATAGATAACTATACATATACATA